ATAACAGCCAAGTGTTGTTAAGAAAGAGGGCCAACAATTAACCCTTCAAAAACCATTCTCGTACCAATTACTATAAGTATGTATATATCTGAGACTTATTGAACCAACTATAAATGGGTCTATTAATAAGTTCTCTGATGAAGTCAAATACTTAGGGATCATTCTCGATAAAACCCTAAATCCAGTACGATCAATAGAGCCATTACAACATTATATGCCTGCCAAAGGCTTTTTTTGAGTACATAGGGTGTAAAACCGAAAATGATCTCATGGACATTTAATATCATAATAAAGCCGATTTTGGCTTATGCTGCCTTAGTCTCAGGCTGGCTTCTCTGTACAAAATTTATCGTCTCTGTGTATCTATAACGGGGCTATTTTCCACATTCCACCTTTGCATATTCTTATGAGGCCTGAAAATCGGCAATTCGCCTACCGGAAATCGCTAACTCGAAAACTGGTGACTTGGAAGGGCCTATAACCATATTCAAATTATTTATCAACAACCCATATATTCGCGTTCATGATTGTGCATCACCAACATCGGTTTATGGCCGCTCCTTTGAGGTTATGATACCTGACAGCAACCGTAACTTTATTAAAGGGTTCTTGGACTCTAAGCGGGATATTGGACGCAAAAAATGTTTTTTTGTGAACATTTTGGGGAAAAATAACCCTATTGCTAGGAGCATGGTACCTCCCATATGAATTAAATACAACAAATTTTACATCCGGAAATGCCAAAGTTCAAATGTTATACAAAGTTCGAACTTTGACATCGAGATAAAGATTTGGGTAATAAATTTTCGGATTAGCAATAGGGTGCATGGCACCTCCAATATTAATTAAATACAAAAATTCGTATATCTGGGAAATTATTACAGATAGAAATCTTAAATGTTTCACGGGCAACATTAAAGTCCATATGAACATATGAATTGGTGAGCTTACAATAATGGGAGTTGCAACTCCCATATGTACATGTATTTTCCCAGCAGAAGACAGTGATTTCCACTAACGTCTAACCACCTGGTTGGCTCTAATTCGTCCTTCGTGACGGAAGTACTCTTTGTAAGTGAGAGTAAAGATAATCGTCACTTTAGTGTCCCCTTTGTAAGCGAGATGTGGGCACTTGAAAAACAAACTTGTGTTTTTTGTCTGTCTCTTCGTAATGTATGTATGTGGTGATGATTGTCTTCCTCGTAGGATAAGCACATGTTAAAATAGCTAGTCCTTTGTTCAAAAGAAAGCTTAGACAATTTCCTTTAAGGGCTTTATAGTCCCACAATGGGATGCGATTGGGATATCTATCAAAAAAAATATTTTTTAACTTAAGAATAAGATGTTTTCCAATATTTGCTTCTTCATTTTCCCCTATTTTTTTCAAAATGGACGTTTTGTTGTACTTTTTTGCTCAAATGAAATCTTAGACCATTTCCTTTAAAAGCTCTCATCCAAATCGGAAGACATCGACTTTAAAAGTTGGGTCACTTGACACGAAATTACCCATATAAAAATATATAAAAAATAAGTAAATAAAATCGTCAAGGGTTTTTTATTTATATTGTTTTTAGGATAGCGAAGCACACACTAGCTAGTAATTAATATATGCTTATAATTGATGGATATAATTGTACATAGTCGGAGAATTCATTAAATCAGACTACGGCTAATTAATGTATTTTGTAGTGCTTTTACTTTATTAAAAATTTAAAAATAACTACGCAATCTTTAAATCTATGTTAGATTTTAATAAAATTTTGGTGGGCATATTTCTAAAAATACATGGCTTGTGTCCACCAATTTGTTTAAAATGTTATTCATAATTATTACCTTATAATCTATTTGTAGTTATGGATAGACAAACATTATGGATAGACATTTCACAGCTTATTAATTAAGCAAAAATAATGACTCATTATCGATTTAAAATATATTAAGATTTTAAAAGATCAGTGCAATGGGTAAATAATGCACTGTAGCACGAAAGTAAGTAATAATATGCAAAAATAATATTTTCTTGAAATTATAATAGCAGCAGAATATTTCGCTTAGCGTTCATGATATGAATGGTGATATTTATAACCCCAAAGACGCCAACTCATATTTAGCTACTTAAAACCCTAATAATTCTGAACCTGATAAAATTGAGTAAAAGTAAGTTTATTTACCCTGAAATCATACTGCAAAATATGGTGAAAATTTGTTCATATTTGATCCTGTTCGATTGGCTTCAGAAATCTTACACTTCTTAATTGACTGTAAAACCCTGATAATTCTGAACCTGATAAAATTTAGAAGAAGTAAGTTTAATTACCCTGAAATCATACTGCAACCCTGTTAGGTTCACATTAGAAATCTTACACTTCTTAATTGACTATAAATATCAGTATCGGAAAGAATTTTATTTGTTATCGTTAGTAAACAAAATAAGTCTGTCAAAATTAATCTATATTCATCCAGAAGAAAATTGAAATATTAGGGTTTTAGTTACCACACATTCATCGTCAAATATTTTATTTACGTATCCTTATTATATTTTATACTAGCTATAACACTGGGTATAGCTTTGCTACCCTAAAAGCAATATGTATAAATAAAAAACCCACTTAACGATTTTGAAGATTCTAACTACAATAGTTTTCCAGATTTGGAATATGTTACATATGAGAGATGTCAAGAAAATTATTGCAAGTTCGCCTGTTTCTATCTATCGCCAAATTCTATCTATCTATGAAAAATTTGAAGAATATAAGAGTTTCCAATATACACGAAATTTTGTAATTAATTCATATATGTGGTCCCAAGCCACCCATTGAAAGTCCGCCCGTTATTCTCTAAATGTTCCAATGAATGTCAAAGTTCTTCATGTAAAATTTTAAGATTCTAGCTCTAATAGTTTCTCAGTGGGGGCTTCAAGCTCCCCAGATGTAAGCCCGCACTTTTTCCCCAAAACGTTCAGATGAATATTAAAATAATTTGTGCAAAATTTTAAGAATCAAGTTCTATTAATTTCCCAGATAAACGAAATTTTATATTTAATTCATATGGGAGGTGCAAAGTTCCCCTTTGAAAGTCCGCCCTTTGTACTCTAAATGTTCATATGAATGTCAAAAGTCTTCAAGTAAAATTTGAAGATTCTAGCTCTAATAGTTTCTCAAATATACGAATTTTTCTATTAAATTCATATGGGGGCTTCAAGCCCCCCTAGATGAAAGTCCGCTTTTTTCTTCCAAAATGTTCAGATGAATATTTAAGTTCTTCGTGCAAAATTTGAAGAATTTAGTTCCATTAGTTTCCCAGATAAACGAATTTTTGTATTTAATTAATATGGAAGGTGCCGCTCCCCTCATGGATAGTCCGCCAATTGATTACCCAAAATGTTTAAATGGATGTTAAAGTTATTCGTACTAAATTTTAAGATTCTAACTGTAATAGTTTCCAAGATAAACGAATTTTTTATGGGAAGTGCCACGCCCCCTAATTCTAGTCCGACTACTTTTTGTCCTAAATAATCATATTGACACTAAAGTGGCTCCGACAAAATTTGAGGACTCTAACTGTTATATTATCTGAAATATACGCATTTTATATTTTTTTATTATGGGCCTGGTACCCCGCCCACTTTAAATTTCAAAATAAAAAGTTGCCTATTACCTATTCCAGACATGCAGACATACGCTGTGAAAATTTGAAGAAAATCGGTTCAGCCGTTTAGTAGTCTATAACGTTCAAACATACAAACAAACACACATTTATTTTTATATACATATATAGATTTTATATACATAATAATATAGTGATAGGTATGAATCATCTGAGGTAATTTTCAATGAATTTAATAAATAGTAAGTTTGTATTAATAGGTTAATTGATGGAAATTATTCGCTTGATTCGTTATTTGAAATTTGGCAATTTTCATTTATTCGACATTTATTGACAAAAATTTATCGATTAACCAATCGACGGTTTAAGTGTTAAAGATAATTAAAATTTTATTTGTGCATACAATTTTTTAAAAAGCAATCATTTTTCGAAATTTTTAATTTTATTTAAATTTTATTTATATATTTTTTTCTAAAAACAAAATTCAGAATCATATAAAAAAAATCTATCTTTATTTATTTTTTTTTTTAAATTTTAATATTATTTGTCTACATTGGTTTTTTAGTCTTCTTCAAAAATTTAGATTGCGATTCCTACTAGTCTCCGAGATATGACCAAAAATTTCCATGTATCTTTAAAAAAATGTATTAAATTTATATAATTTAATTTATAGTGTTCAATTTTATAAATTTTGTTGAGTTGAAAAATAAAAAAAATATGAAATAAAGAAGATTTTTAAAATTTAGGCTCTTTTTTGTAAATGTACGTGGACATTTTTGGTCATATCACGAAGACTAGTAGAAATCCCAATCTAAATTTTTAAGGACGGTTAGAAAACCAATGTGGCCACATAATATAAAAATTTAAAAAAAAATAAAGATAGATTTTTTCTTTTATATGACTCTGAATTTTGTTTTTTGAAAGAAATGTGTAAAAAAATGGGCAATAGCACCAATATTTTGTTACAAACGTCAGCACAAACGCATAATGCCCTCCCCGGAAGGGGTAGAATTAGAACAAAATACAAAATGAAATGTGGTCACATGAATATGGATACAATTTGCCATATGAATTTTTAATTTTCTGCAATTTTCCAAATTTTTTTTTGTTATTCAAAATATGTTTCTTCACAATGTTTATTATTATTTTTATTTTTTTTTTTTTTTTGAAGTGAAATATCTTAAATTCACAATATGTATTTTTATTTTCAACGTAGAAGATTCAATTCAATTCAAAAATATTGGTGAAGACAAATCTGAATCTAACGTTGGTAAGTGGAGAGTTTAACTTATGCTTTCGAATTGAGAACTGAATAACATTTTGTGCAATATGAGTAAACATAAAATGACTAATTAGATTAAAGTAACAATAACGAACCACTGAAACTGGCTTACCTTTAATTTAACGAATTCCTTGAAAAATTATTTAAATCTGTTGACGATGTTCGCTAACTTATAAATGGTTGTATGTCAATTAAATTTAATTAATGTAATATATGTTGATATAAACACAACACACACGAAAATGTTCAAATGTTTAAGTCAACGGAAATGTTTATTTTTATGTTTGTACACATATATTTACTTCTTTATTTTGTTATAATTATTATTATTTTTGGGTTTAGATGACTAAATAAACAGGAGAAACGAAATGAATAAAGTCAGCTGTATTTTCAATTATGTTTTTAATGAAAAGATTCGGCTTAAAACAATTTTATTTAATTATACAGAATTGTTGTTGTTTTAATGCAGCTTTTTGGTGGACGTGCACTGAAATCAGGAACATTAGGTGTTGTCTATAAGCTGTCACCAAGAAAATGTTTTTGTTCTTTTGGAGTTTTTCTTTTTTAGATTGGCGACATGTCTTTTTAATTACCAAAAATTTAAATTTTATGTCAATGTTAATGATAATAATTAATTTAAATGAGTTGTATTTTTAATTTTGTTCATTTTATATTTCACAAATAATGAGAAAGGGGAGCGCATGAGAGGAATCGTGCATTTAATAATTTTAAAATGTATTTTTATTGGAAGCACTAATATTTTCTTTGTTTTGAACTTAATGTCATCACTGATCAAATATGTGACAGTTTTATATATATATATATATATGTACGTATATAATTCACTTTAATTGCACTGGATTGATATTTAATTATTTTTGGCACTTTATATTATTGTTGACAATTGATTTGCGTTTAATTTAGTCGTCATAAATTTAATTGTTGTTTGTAAAATTGCTTGTTTGTTCAAATTTAAATCCGCTGCTGCGACACTCTGTGTTGACTCGTTCGAGTGCGAAAAGGATGTGACTGTGTTTTGTTCAAGTAGTGACAGCGAACCTACAGACTTCGCGCTCGGCGACAAACTATCGCGAGTATTGTAAGCGAATATTGAATTTGAACGGCGAAAGGATTTATTTCCACACACACACTTACAAATTTTGCATGTGTCTATTTACTTGACGTGTGTATGTGCTAACTAGGTAGGTATGTTGCGTAGATATGGAACCGTATAGCGTAAATGGTGGTTGTTGTTGTTGCGGTTGTATTCCTCTATCGGTCAATTGTACTGACCGTGGTTTGTTGTCGTGTTGTTGCAAACTACCCGCCGTTTTCGGTGACAGTCAAAAGTACAATGATTAACGGCGAAAATGAAATGAATGAAGACGGCGACGATGACGAGTACGAACACGTCTACGAAAATGACAACGACAAAATTGACGGTGGCATCGCTATTCTGCCAACAACGAACGACGTCGTTGGAAGGAGAAACATTACACACATTCAAATACGTACAATGGTAATGGAGAAAGAAGAATAAATGTCGTTGATAAGTGAGTGAATAGAATTTCGCAACCATTTTTGCCTGCCTGCCTGCCAGCCAGAGATAAATGTTTTTTTAAGTTGCTGTTGTTGTTATTTTTTCGTCGACCGTTTCGCGCAGCACCACACACGCACTCATACATCCTGTGAAAGTACAACCAAACCACTGTCAGTTAGTTGACTTCATTCCGTCAACCAATTTACTCAGGCCTACGAAGATTCTTATAATAACAATGTGTTTTGCCATAGACGCTCTTGTACTAGTTTTTGTAACATGACCACTTTTTCTGGATCTACATACATACAATTGTATGTACGTATGTATGTCTATCTACACATGAATATGGTGGTATAGGTAAAGTTGGTGTGTGTTGTATGCTACGTCGACGTAGCATCGTTAAAGCTGAGGACACACACACACAAATCCATATACATACATATATATATATATATATATATAAAATTTACTTGGCCATTGCCAGAGAGATCTGTAAGATGTTTCTATAAACCCTCATGGTGTTTTGTGCGGTGTTGGAATTTTCGGCTCTTTTCTGCGTGCCAACTAGTATCCATCCAACAACAACAGTAAACACAATGAAAACTTTTTTGCCACACGTCATACCAAATATTGCAAGGTAAAGACGATGAGAAAGAACATGACATACGACTTAAGAGTTTGTTCTATTTTCAAGATAAAGACGTACCAAGATACATTTAGTCAGTCAGCCAGCCTGCTAGCTAGCCAACCAACTAACTGATGGTATTGGTAAATGTGAATTCGCAACATGATGTCTTTAATCAATTGAGCCAAATGAACACAACTGCAACTACAAAAACAGCGAAATGTATAGTTATGATGAATGCTAGTATGACATTGAAGAATGTTTGATTGCAACATATCGTATAACATCAATCAACTCATTCAATATGTAATACATGCTTGCATACATTAGTATATTACAACAAATCCTTGAGACTTTCAAACATATACTTATGCACATGTTTGATATACATGATTAAGTTTTATGTTGGATCGAACAATTTTCACTATCCAAACGGGATGTTCGTCGTTGGTAGTTGCATCAACAAATATATACAAACAAAAATGTTTTTATTATTTGCACACATGATTTTATTTGTGTGTGCGTGTGAACAATACTGATGCATCTAGTAATCTCACATTTGACACGTTCTATGCGAGAATCAACTGATTTTTGTATTTCAGGGATATAAATTGCATTTCATTGATTTCATAGAAAATAAAATTAGACATAAACACAAACAAATACAAATAACGAATTTGTTGGTTGCATGTACATAGTTGTTTAGAAGTATGATTGGTAAGAATATCTTAATTCGTTATGCCTACAATTTGGGACCATTAAAGATGTTCTGCTCAAGCTGTGTGCGATAGCATTATTGCTAAAAATCTTACCGTTTCTAAGAAAATTCTGCTAATCTGAAGATGTTTAAGAAAAACAATAAAATCCTACCATTAAAAAAAAACAAAGAAACCCTAAGATCACTACAACAACATTTTAGATTGCAAGTATGTTTTCATATGCAATAAATATGTATGTATATAACTATATCACTGGGTTTTGTAATAATGCCTTTTTTAAACCCTTAAAAGAGTGGGGATGAATTGTTCGCATGTGTGTGTGTTTGTGTATTAAATTGCTACCACAAGTTGTATGTTCTTGTGAGAAGCATCTATTGTTAGTAAGTCCTTTTCTGTCTCAACTTTTCTAGAACCTGCCTTGATTGTGTGTTGGCTAAAGTTTTGTCCATCCCGAAGAAATTGCAAGTAATTAAGCCTTTCTAAGATACACAGCATGTTATGTGAATAAATCTACATACACACATACGTATTACATAAACAATATGCATATTAAGGTAATAACATTTTGCAACAATAAATAGTTACATATGTATCTATTATAAATTCCGTTATCAAAAGATCGGGGTTTTTGAACTGAGTATTAGAAAATATGTATGTTTCATATTAAAATCTTTCATATACATATGTACATACGTACACAGTTTTGTATAAAAAATGGTTATTATTTTTGGTGTGCGAGTAACTTTTTGTTGTAAAGGTCAAATCTAAAACCCAAGATTTCACGATCACTAGCTTTAATATTTTGGATATGGTTTTAAAGTTTTTGCATTTGACATCATATTTTTATAACCTATACCACTATTGTGGGGAGGGCCCATATTTAATCCTAGCCCTTATATAAAACATCTTTCAAAAAATCAATTTTTATCAAGATATTATTTTATATAAGTATATCGGAATTAAGGTTAAATTAAACATAAATGATTTATTTTAACAAAAATCACATTGTAAATTTACTCATAACTGGTGTTAGGTATCATATAGTTTTCGGTTTGGTATTTGAAACTCTGTAATTTTGAAATATTCGAACAAAGAAAAAAGTGGAAAAATTTATCTCTTACATATCTGCTATACCTATTTTTATTTTTATGGAATAACTGACAACCTTTAAGTATTTTGTGACTAGTCTCTGAAATAACCTAAATACAAATCTCAATATTGAATTTCAATTGACGGTTGCATTTAGTCAAATTTAAACACTTGAAGTAATATTTCATCCTTACACAAGCCTAGGAACTATTCGACTATGAAACCTATGCTATACGAACAACGATTTTTGCCGGTCCAATATTGGACACTTAAATTGATAGTAGCAGCAAACATTTTTGTAGAAATTTGTTATTCTTGGGAATTGGGAGTAGTTGATTGGTACTTTTTATTTGCATTAGTTTTTAAGTAATTGTTAATATATTGTTATTTTAGCCGCAAGACCGTCTAAGTCCAGAAAAAATATTGGAAACATTTTGAATTATTCATAAAGAAAGAAATGAAGGAAAAAATATGTATGTATTTAGAGGTTTAGTTATTTTTTATATACATTTTATAGTCTTTATTTTTTAGTCTTTCTCACAACACTCTAACAATGGATTCCTGTCACAAAAAAAAAAAAATATAAAAATTGCTAATTAACCATCGGACACAGATAGCCCTTTCCAAAAATATATGTACACATATTTCATTCCATGAGCAAACAAAAAAGAGTATTAATTTGTGATATTACAAAATATTGTCACCTGAAATGCAAAAGGACATAACAACTCTTTTTAAAATATTACAGGAGAGACAAAAAACTAAATAATATGGAAACTATTGTTGTTATAAACTTTTTCTCAGACGTCAGACGTTGTTTATTCTATTGCTTTTTAGGACTTTCTGACTTGTGGCTATTTTGTTGTTACGCCCATTGATGAACTTCATATTAATAAAATCGGTGTTTTGACAACATAGTTCCAAAAATTTGCGACATTTTGATGCGGTGAACCATTTTCAATCAATATATAATAATTATGGAAAAATTATATAAAATAAATTTCCATAGTTTAGGTTTCATAGTCCTATTCAAAAGAGTTATGACCTTAATTATTGTACATACACACATATATTAAAATATATACACTTCGATAATGGTTATATACATATGTGCACATAGGATAAGTTAACAACAACTGGTCCGGCATAGTCTTATTCTGACATATACATTTAAGTGTATATGTATGTCTATATAATTACATATACATATGTTAAAATAACTTCATTAAGATTTCCGTGATTACTTTTTCCTAAATAAAATTTCCTCACAGATTTTAAATAAAATTTGATTTTTATATTTTCTGAAAGTCCTTGGCTAAAGAAAAAATATATACGAAAATAACATACATATTTATCTATTACAATTTCCGAATTATAGTCACTTAAAATTTCAACAAAAATTTCAATCATGATAACATAATATCGTTTCTGGATAAAAAAATGTATTGAATTTGAAAGTTCAAAAAATTTTAGATTTTTGGGGAAAAATAAAACTGTCTACACTGTTACGAATTCGACCTATTTTTGATAAAAATTTAACTTTGGACCCACACTGTGATCAGAAATCAAAAAGAAGTTTTGGAAACCTTCATATGTTCCTTAGTTATTCTTAAAAATATTTGCCATTCAAAATTAAAAAGAATTCCAAAATCAGATCCTAAGAAATACTTCAATGCCATTATCGGAATGCTGCGCTATCTTTTTCTAGAGTCTTTGGCGAGAATCGAACCGATGAACTCCGTACTGACAGACTAGAACACTAATTACCTGTGCCTCCGGTAGGTTGGTTGGTATATTGCCATTTTATCCATAATTAATTTGTTTTCAGTTGGAAGTACAAATACTTTTTCGAGTTGTCCTAAACCAAATGTGCATAAGTACCCATATGTATAAATATATACATACATATAAAATCCAAAAAGCCCTAAGTTTTTAATTGATTATGATGCACCCTATCAAAATACACGAGCCTACTAAATTTTACAATCATACAATTAAAACCAACGCCCCTATCAACGAAATTCGAAAAGATTATATTCTAAAATGGCCTTCAGTTATCCTGTTGAGAACTGCTGATTTTTTCAGATGTTTAATGAATACAAACACACACATATGTATAACCAAATGAAACAACAAAAATAGTAAAACAATAAGATGTGCAATTTCTTCGTCGGCATAAGATTCATCATACTCAGTATTGGTAAGTTAGTTAGTAAGTGCATATGAATCTAATAACATATATATACATACATAAGTACATATGTATATGCATATGTACATACATACCTATAGTAGTGTATGTATTTACATATAAATAAACGAAGTGTGTGTTTGTATATATATATAAGTATATGAGATTCACATTAGAGAAGCCAATGCTTTTTCTAATCCTGGGATTCGGGATTTTGAAAATTGCCACCCCGGGATTTCGGATTGATGTAGTTTTAATTTTATTTAGTTTTTTGTCTCTCTC